TGTGTGTGTGTGTGTGTGTGTGTGTGTGTGTGTGTGTGTGTGTGTGTGTTGGTCTGGTGGGGGGGGGTCAAAGACTTTTTGCTCAGAGGGCTTTTTCAACCTGTGGTCACTGTGCTCGGAGCTGATTGGCTCTCCCTGTTCCCGTAGCGACCGGAGGAGGAGCCCCACGTCTGAGGTGTTGTTGGTAAAAATGTGAAGTCGTTGGTGTGTAACTGTGTCATGGTTTTCTTTTTTAGATGGGGGTCGGGGGGGGGGTCCTGAAATCTGCCTGGTAACAAACTCCAAACTCTCTAGGACTCTGGGCTGCCCCCCCCCCCCCCCCGGGCCCCCAGACCAGCAGCCTTTTTGGGGGGGGGGGGGGGGGGGGGTTCTGGACCTTTTCCTATCACTATCTATGACTGGAACCAGACATTTAGCAGATCTGTAGTCCTGGTAATCCACTCGGATCTGATTGGCCGCCCCCCCGACAGGTTTCCCCTCAGATGGACTCTTCCCACACCTGGGCCAGCTGTTGGGTTTCCCAGAAGGCACTTCCGGGTGTTTTTTCTTGGTTTTTCTTGGCCAGACAGCCTCCTGACGGTAGGCGGCCATTTTGACTGTTTTCTGCCCTGCGCTGACCTTAAATCAGAGTGGATGATTGTATTTCTTTTTTTTATCGGGCCTCTTCTGTTTGATTTTTATTGCCTCATTTGGACTGTTGTATCTGTAAAGAAGAATCGTGTCGGTTTCGTTTTTGAATTTGTGGTTTGGAAAAGTCGTCTTTTTTTGTTTTTTTGTTTTTTTTGTTTCAGCAGTTGATATCTCAAAGGCATCGATGCACTTTTAAGATGACCAATTCTCCTGTTTGAACCCCACAGCTAACCCCCCCCCCCCCCCCCCCCCCCTGACCCTCCTGTGTGCCCTCATGTTTTCTTGAATGTCACCTTTAAAAATGTCTCTGCCGATGTTGTTGCCACAATATTTATTGAATTAAATATTTTCCCTTTAGAATAAAAGCTAATTGAATTGAAGAGCTGTGTTTTCTGTTCATTTCAGGGCTGGAAAAGGGAAAATGTTACCCCCCCTCCCCTCCCAAACTACCAATCAGCTTTGCTCACCCTGAGTCACATTCTCTGTGATAAATATTTTATTTTAAATGGAACGAGGACATTAACATGATGTTTAACACACTCAGTTTAATTCACTCTGAGATTAATCAGTTTTATACAGAACCCACAATCAAACACCTGGTTTATCACATACATGGAGGTATTTAATCAGAGTTAATAATTATTACAATTATTTAAAGTTGTGGCTGACGTCTATTTAAGTCTTTTTTAATTGTTTTTTATTATCTTTAGAGGCCTAGTGCTGTTCAGCTCACTGTAATGTTACAAATCCCAGTTATAGGAGCTCTTGTGATGTTTGGCCGTGGATCCAGTGTTATTAGAGTTTCACTTGAGTAAATAAACGAAAACGGGAACCTCTTAAACATTCAGACAGTTGGAAATATCTCCGACTCCCCCCTCCGGAGAGTGGAGAGCTGGATGGAGCTCTTGATTGCTCTGACATCCCAGAAAAACAAAGCTTTTAGTGGAACACAAAGCTCCAGAAGCAGACCGGTTCTGGAGGATCCCCCGGGGCTCCCGCACATGGAAACTGCTTTCCTTCACACAGCAAGCCAATAAATCACCCGGTGACTTCATCACAGGCGTGAGGACGGAGACGTATGAGGCTGTCAGAGGCAGGAAAACGGGCCTGTCAGCCGAAAAATAAACGCACGCCATGAAAGGAGCACAAATGTCCCAGGTAACACACAAGGATTCCATTTAACCCTTTAAAGCCTGGTCCAAAAATAAAACAAAACAGAAAATTACTTTTTGGGGGGTTTTAAGTCTTTATTTAGCCTTTTAACAAAATATGTAAAAAGAAAAAACAGAAATAGATTTTTAATATCAATCATTTCTTACTATGCGATAAGTCAAGATTATTTTTTGTGTATTCTTCTGCCCCCTGTTATCGGGTGTATCTGATTGTGTACAATAGGATTTTGAGCAAAGTTTTTACCATTAAATTATACAAAAGGTGTTTCAGAAACCGTATGTATCAAATATGACACATTTGGCATTACAGGGATAAGCCAAGTTTGAAAAGGCGTTTTTCCCAGGGATTTCAAACACATAGTTGGTCACTTTGGGCGTCTAACTTCCCTTTAAGAATACAGTGAATTTACCATCAAATGCTGCAGATGTTCGGTTAAAGCTGGAGCCAGAAAAAGTGGGTTGCCACTCAGAGGAATGGTGGCCAGCCGGTCACATTAAAGCTCCTCAAATGCCTTCATGCTAAGTTCTGTTAGAGAAAGGCAAGGCAAGTTTATTTTATAAAGCACATTTCGTGTTAAAGACACTTCACAGTGCTTCACATAGAATTTAAAAGCAGAAAAAAATTATAAAAAATGATAAAAATTAGACAGATGAAAAGTGAAGGGTGCATATAAAATACATTCAATTTCCATCTGCACAGTTAAACAGAAGTGTTTTCAGCCTGGATTTAAACATTCAGAGCTGGGTTCTGTCTCACATCTTCAGGAAGTCTGATCCAGATTTTAGGAGCCTGGAGCTGAAATGAAGCTTCAGCTTGACTGATTCCAGTGCTGCTCTTTTTTGGTTAGGTCAGGGTTTCTTTGAGAATCTGAAGCTTGCACTAAAGTCCATAAAGTCCTTTATCAAAGTGCTACCAGGCTCTAAGAAAGGACAATATCTATAATGTTTGTGCTCTGCTCTTAACTAAATCACATCTGGATGACGTAGGAATCATTTAGCTAAAAGAATAAATTGATAATTCAGCTCAACTGAGCTCGGTCTGAAAGGTAATTATACACTTTTCAATGAAAATATTTCAGTTCTCTAGTTATAAAACGATAAATAAACACTTTAAAAAATAGCTGGTTTACTTACATGAAATTCACCAGTCCCAACTTGTTTAAAATTGCTGTATTTATTGTTACAGCAGCATAAAACAATAATGTCACACAGCTGCTAAAATCCAATATTTATACCCAGTATTTCTACTGAAAATAAAACTTTTAGGTGCAGGTCTTCATTAAAATGTTTTCTAATATTTCAACATTGATTTGTTCCCTAAAAACTATTCCTAGATTTTCTTAATGATAAATTACATTTATAATTGATATGTTATTATACATTAATTATATCACTGATACAGTAAATTTTGGCAGGTTTTGGGCAAAAAACATAACAAAACAGACATAATCCGATGTCAAATAAGCCCACTCTGACCCATTCATGCAACATTACATTGAACATTAAGTCTTTTTCACAGCGCTGATTTTAACGGTACTTAACCTGACCCAGATAGTGTAATAAGAAAGGAATCCCTCCACAGCCCCACTCCCTGTGGGTGGACTGACCTGGCAAGCAATCCGGCCTTTTTCAGGGCTGCAGTCCACCCGGCCTGTGCTGTGTGAGTCCACCATGCTTCATTTTGCTCAGACATGTTGTGTATAAATGAGCGGTACACATGTGGAGGAGAGAGCAAAGTGAGCTCATGCTCTGCAGATGTGCTGAAACTGGTCTGAGAAGGCTGAGCTCTTGTGGTTTGCAGCCATGTTGTTGGAGGCTGAAAGGTAGACTCAGACTTGGACTTAGACTTAGACTTAGACTTAGACTTAGACTTAGACTTAGACTGTATTTTATTGATCCCTTGGGAAGACTCCCTCAGGAAATTGAGGTTACCAGCAGCTTACAGGGCAAAAAGTGGCACACAGAGAGCAAAATTAAGCAAAAAAAACAGGCAAAGAATAAGAATATAATTACAACCTGAAAATAGAGACCTCTAAGAAAATATAGGACTTTGGAAGGTGTTGGTGGGAATACAGTTCGGCTTTTTTGTCTCCAAAAATGAATAAATAAATTAGTAAAATAAATGTTAGATACATATTCATGATTTGAAATTCAATAAAAAACTGAAACAAAACATTAAAATATTTTTTTTTTAGCTTTTTATGCTATGCTATTTACTCACATTTTGTCCTATTTCATGCATGAATAGCATAAATAGTAAGAAAATAGGACAGCAAGTACATGTATAGAGACGACTACATTTGGCCCTGTAATGACTTTGGCTGAGCTGGTTCAATTGTAAAATTTTGATTTCCACTCTCAGGGATACATCAATGTCGGCATACAAAGAGGAAGTATTTTAATTAAAGAAACGTGAAACCTGTAAAAATTTTGTGCTGTAGCTTTTTTTGCAGAAAATGAAGAAAAGTGAATCCAGATGACACATTTTTTTGTTTGCCTCGTTCCCTTTAATCTGACAGGTGAAAAAACGGGGCCTTCAGAGTGGAGCCGCAAGGCTCTTCATTGGACATTTGTCTTACTTTAAAGGCACAGAAAGCCCAAGTTATAGTTTTTCTGTTGGCTGATGTGATTTTGAACTGAATTATCCAAAGTGCTTTTTACAGCTCCTGTCACACACGTATAGTTTTGACAAACTGTTTTAATATGAAGCGAAAGATCCTTTTCCCAATCCTCAGTACAAAACAGAATAAATGTCCAAATCTGTCAGCAGTAACCGGCTTATAGAGAGGGAGCTCTGTCAATCACC